TAAGGAAAAAATTTGGGGAAAAAATGGTTTTTTTGGGGGGCAGAAATGTGGATTTTTTGGGGGGAAAAAATGGATTTTTTTTAGGGAAAAATGGATTTTTTGGGGGGGAAAAATTGGGGGGTTTGGGGAAAAAATGATTTTTTTTTAAAGGAGAAATGGATTTTTTGAAGGGAAAAAATGGATTTTTTAAGGGAAAGAAATGGAGTTTGTTGGGGGGAAAATGGGGGTTTTGGAGGGAAAAGTTGGGGGTTTTTTTGGGAAAAAATTTTTTTTTTTTCGGAGGAAATGGGAATTTTTTTTAAGGGAAAAGTTGGGGGTTTTGGGGGAAAAAATTTTTTTTAAGGAAAAAGGTTTTTTGGGGGGGGGAAAATTGGGCGTTTCAGGGGGGAAATGTGGATTTTGGGGTAAAAATCCCTGGATTTTAGGGTAAAACCCCTGGATTTGGGGAAAAGTGGATTTTGTGAGTGTGTGGTCAACTGGAAGGGTCTTGGTCAACTGAGAAGGGTCTTGGTCAACTGGGAACCCAACTGGGAACCCAACTGGAAGGGTCTTGGTCAACTGAGAATGGTCTTGGTCAACTGGTCTTGGTCAACTGGAAGGGTCTTGGTCAACTGGGAACCCAACTGGGAGACCCAACTGGGAGACGCAACTGGAAGGGTCTTGGTCAACTGAGAAGGGTCTTGGTCAACTGGGAACCAAACTGGGAACTCAACTGGAAGGGTGTTGGTCAACTGGGAACCCAACTGGGAACCAACTGGGAACCCAACTGGAAGGGTCTTGGTCAACTTAGTGACCCAACTGGAAGGGTCTTGGTCAACTGGGGACACCCAACTGGAAGACCCGACTGGAAAGGTCTTGGCCAACTTAGTGACCAACTGGAAGGGTCTTGGTCAACTGAGAAGGGTCTTGGTCAACTGGAAGGGTCTTGGTCAAGTGGGAACCCAAATGGAAGGGTCTTGGTCAACTTAGTGACCCAACTGGAAGGGTCTTGATCAACTGAGAAGGGTCTTGGTCAACTGGGAGAGTCTTGGTCAACTGGGAACCCAACTGGGAACCCAACTGGAAGGGTCTTGGTCAACTGAGAAGGGTCTTGGTCAACTGAGAAGGGTCTTGGTCAACTGGAAGGGTCTTGGTCAACTGAGAAGGGTCTTGGTCAGCTGGAAGGGTCTTGGTCAACCGAGAATGGTCTTGATCAACTGGAAGGGTCTTGGTCAACCAAGAAGGATCTTCCTCAACCGGAAGAGTCTCCCACCAACCCCCCTCAACTCTTTAAGCCCCTCCCCCTTTTTCACCGCCACCCCTCCCCCCGCAGCCTCCACGGTGGTGGCGCCGCAGGTCTACGTCTTCCCCCCTCCCGCCGAGGAGTTGGCGCGGCAAGAGAAGGTCACCTTGACCTGCCTGGCCACCGGTTTCATCCCCGGCGACATCTTGGTCAGCTGGACCCACCAGGACCAACCCGTGGCCCGAGGGGAATTCCAGGTCTTCGGCCCCCAACGCGACGGCGACGCCTTCACCCTCTACAGCAAGATGGCGGCCGAGGCCGAGGATTGGCGGCGCGGCGACGTCTTCGCCTGCGTGGTGGGGCACGACGGCGCCGGGATGACCTTCATCCAGAGGAGTTTGGATAAGAGCCTGGGGAGGCCCCAGAACGTCAATGTGTCCGTGCATTTGGCCGATACCGACGTCACTTGTTATTGAAGGGTTGGCCAAGTCAACCGGCGTTGAGTTGATGTTGAGTTGGAAATAAAAGTTCTTGAAAAAACTCAAGTTGGAGTGTCACGTTTTTTGTCCCAAAATTGACGTTTTCGGGTTGAAAATTGAGGGTTTTTGGGTGAAATTTGAGCGAAAAATGGATTGAAAATGGGGAGAAAATTGAGTGGAAAATGGGAAGAAAATTGAGTGAAAAATGGATCAAAAATGGGTCAAAAATGGGTGAAAAATTGGGAGAAAAATGAGTGAAAAATGGGTTGAAAATTGAGTCAAAAATGGGTTGAAAATTGGGAGAAAATTGAGTGAAAAATGGGGGAAAAATGGGTCAAAAATGGGTTGAAAATTGGGAGAAAAATGAGTGAAAAATGGGTCCAAAATGAGTGAAAAATGGGTTGAAAATTGGAAGAAAATTGAATGAAAAATGGGTTGAAAATTGGGTTGAAAGTGGGAGAAAAATGGGTTGAAAATTGGGTTGAAAGTGAGGGAAAAATGGGTTGAAAATTGTGAGAAAATTGAGTGAAAAATGGGTTGAAAATTGGGAGAAAATTGAGTGAAAAATGGGTTGAAAAATGGGTGAAAATTGAGTGGAAAATGGGTGAAAAATGAGTGAAAATGAGGTAAAAATTGGGAGAAAATTCAGTAAAAAAGGGGTTGAAAATGGGGAGAAAATTGAGTAAAAAATGGGTGGAAAATGGGTTGAAAATTGAATGAAAAATGGGTTGAAAATGGGGAGAAAATTGAGTGGAAAATGGGTGAAAAATGAGTCAAAAATGGGTAAAATTGAGTCAAAAAATGAGTGAAAAATGGGTTGAAAATTGAGCAAAAAATGGGACAAAATTGAGCGAAAAATGGGTCAAAAATGGGGGAAAAATGGGTCAAAAATGAGTGAAAAATGGGGTGAAAATTGAGTGAAAAATGGGTTGAAAATTGGGAGAAAACTGAGTAAAAAATGGGTTGAAAATTGGGAGAAAACTGAGTGAAAAATGGGTTGAAAATTGGGAGAAAACTGAGTGGAAAATGGGTGAAAAAATCGAGAGAAAAATGGGGAGAAAATTGAGTGAAAAATGGGTTATAAATGGGAAAAATGGGTTGAAAATTGGGAGAAAATTGAGTGAAAAATGGGTTGAAAATCAAGTGAAAAACGGGTCGAAAAGACCGAGACTGGAAGGGTCTCAGTCCAACTGGTGTTGAGTTGACATTGAGTTGGAAATAAAGTTCTTGGAAAACCAAGTTGGATTTTTGTGGTTTTTTGTCGCCCCCAAAATTGACATTTTTGGGTCAAAAATTGAGGGTTTGGGTCAAAAATTGAGGTTTCGGGTAAAAAATCAACAAAAATTACGATTTTGGGTCAAAAACTGAGTTTTTGGGTGGAAAATCAATGAAAGTTGAGGCTTGGGGTCAAAAATAGACGAAAAACGAGGTTTTGGGTCGAAAAACGAGTTTTTGGGTCACAAATCGATGAAAATTGAGGGTTTGGGCAAAAATTCAGTTTTTGGGTCGAGAATCGAGGTTTTGCGTGGAAAATTGATGAAAATTGAGGTTTTTGGGCAAAAATTGAGGTTTTGGGTCAAAAATCAATGAAAATTGAGGTTTTGGGTGGAAAATCAAGGTTTTTAGGTGGAAAATCGATGAAAATTGAGGTTTTAGGTCAAAAATCAAGGGTTTGGGTGGAAAATCAACGAAAATTGAGGTTTTCAGTGGAAAAATGAGGTTTTAGGTGGAAAAGTGACAAAAATTTAAGTTTGGGGTTGAAAATTGAGGTTTTGGGGAGAAAATAGATGAAAATTGAGGGTTTGGGTCGAAATTTGAGGTTTTGGGTGGAAAAGTGACAAAAATTGAGTTTTTTGGGGGTCGGGTTTGGCCGAAATGTGTAAAAGTGGGTGAAAACTGGGTATAAATGGGTGAAAATTGGGTAAAAGTGGGTGAAAAATGGGTATAAATGGGTGAAAAATGGGTCAAAATAAGTAAAAAAATGGGTGAAGAAAGTGGGTGAAAAGGAGGAAAGAAAAGGGTAAAAATGGGTGAAAAATGGCTTAAAATGGTTCAAAAATGGGTGAAAAATGGGTGAAAATTAGACAAAAATGGGTCAAAAATCAGGAAAAAATGCGTCCAAATGGGTCCAAAAAATGGGTTTAAATCAGCCAAAAATGGGTCAAAAATGGGTGAAAAATGAGTGAAAAAAGGCGAGAAATCGCTCAAAATGATTAAAAATGAATAAAAATGGTTAAAAACGATTAAAAATGCTCTTTTTTCCCCAGATCCTCTGGAAATCTGCGTCGTGGTGTCCCCGGATGTTCCGGATCCGGGCGAAGATTCCGTCGGCTCCGATTTCTGGTCGACGTTGACCTTCGCCCTCCTCTTCCTCCTCAGCCTCGTCTACGGCGCCGGCCTCACCCTCCTCAAGGTGGCGCCCAAGAGCCGCTAATTTATGCAAATTTATGCAAATTTGAACTGAATTTAGGGCAAATTTAATTTAATTTAGGAGGATTAAATTCGATTTATTGGTTTTGACGCCGATTTGGGTCAATTTATGTAAATTCACCTTTATTTGTTCAACACAGATTTCGGAGCACTTATGACAATTTATGATAATTTATGCAAATTTATGCACATTCAAACTTAATTTGTGGAAATTCGGGGCAAATTTAATTTAATTTGTGAAGATTGAGGTCGATTTGTTGGTTTTGACACGAATTTGCGTCAATATTTCCAGCGCACTTTGATTTGTGCAGATTTATGCAAATTTATGCAAATTTATGCAAATTTATGCAGATTGAAATTTAATTTAGGGAAAATCGGGATGAATTAAATTAAATTTATGAAAATCGAGGTCGATTTATTGGTTTTGAGGCCGATTTGGGTCGATTTGGGCAATGTAGATTTCGGAGCATTTATGATGATTTATGCAAATTTATGCAAATTTATGCGGATTGTAATTTGATTTATTAAAAAATCGGGACAAATTAAATTTAATTTATGAAAGTTTTGGTGGATTTATTGATTTTGACACGGATTTATGCAAATGCCCCTCGATTCCTGCAACCAGCACAGATTTGGGGCTG